GAAGGACCGGCTGCATCGTGGCTCCTGGGTAAATATGGGGGGAAGTTTGATGGTTTTCTCCAGTTGTTTAAATGCCATTTATCCAGCTTTCACAGCAATAATGGCAGAGTTATGATCCACTGGTGAGCCTTAAAAACAGGTTTCTGAGATCTAAATGGAGATAATCGGGTAGTTCAGAAATCTGGTTTGAAATTTTTAATTGACACATGGCATTAACGTTTGTATCTGGGAGAGATTTGTTTGTGTTTTTAATATATGTTAAATATGTTTTAATTTAAACTCAAATTCAAGTTAGTCATTATTATTGTTGTACTGTTGTTAATAGATTTAATATTAATATTATTACACTAACATTAAATTGTTTGGAGTCAGTAGGCTAAGTTTTTTTCTAGATATTAATGCGTTAATTTAGCAACGACACTATAAATTAATCAAAAGTAACAGTAACGACTTTAACATTGTTACAAAGAGATTATAAGAGACTTCTTTTCAAAAATCTTACAGACCCCAAACTTTTGTACATACAAACCCTATATTGCTGCCTTTCATATTGTTATTTCAACAGAGTAAATGCTTCTTGTGGGTGCAATTTTGCTGACATCTAGTGGCCATTTATTGTTCATCTAGTAGTCTCGTCAACTAAATGTCAACATTTTGAAGATAATGTTTCTATTGATGACGTAAACCCAAATTATCCTTTATATTATCCACGTGAACCCAGGGATATAAAGGTGAAGAGAGATTCACATCTTTTAAAGCCTGCATGAAGAAGGAACTCACTGCTAAATAGGTAAGTTCATGAGAAAAATGAAGTGGGTATTATGCAGTGTTTTTAGTTTGGCTTCATGATATTGCCTTGGAGAATTCCAAATTAATGATACTGAAGTACAGCGCTAGCACTGCTCAGCATTCAGCCAAAGCTCTTTCTCCAGTATCAGATTACTCTGTAAAATTAATGTCTGCTATCCAGAGACACAAGATACCAGCCTAACACAGTGTATTAGGACTTAACACAGTAATAGAATACAGTGCCCAACCCACAAGAAAAAGGCTTAACACTATAAAACACCTAAAAACAGGGAACAATTAGACTTACTGTGGGGATATTCGCAGTTTGAGTGAAAGAAACAGGTGTTGCTATTTTTATAAAGCACTTTGTATTGAAAGTATCACCTGTTGGATTCAGTTATGATGTAGATAAATCATCGTTTGATATGCCGTTCGTCTCTATGTCTTTGATTTGTGCAGGCGAAAGTCCCGCTGAGTGTTTCTCTTCACCTTCACATCACACTGAAGAAATCTCATGTTGGATTAAAGTTCTCAGTGACTCGATGCAATTATCTACCTAACCTGTGTCAAACTCTGTAAGATACAAATACTGCCATAATTAGATTAACACATGCTACCTCCCTAGACTGTAGTCACAGCTTTGTCACTCGGCTGGCACTTTCTGAACTCTTTAAAAGCCATTAACATGAAATAGCCATGATACTTTTATTAATCAAAGAGTTATTTATTAAAGTTCTTATAAATTTAAATGGGTCCAGTGCCCACATTTTGGGATAAATTATGTTGTTTAATTATTTACAAAGTAGTGTCTTTATTTATGATGATATATTACTTAATAAGTTTAAAGGGAACTGTGTTGAAGTGAAAAGTGCTGAATTCTTATGGCGTGTACAGTTATTTATTCTATTTATTGATCTATTTTGTGTAAAGAAA